ACAAACTAATCAACGCTACCAAGATGATGATGATGATGATAGTAATAATAAGGATAATAATAATGATGATAGTAATAATAATGATAATGGAAATGTTAAAAACAACATTGATAATACTAATGAAATTGATGTGGAAGATACCAGTAGTAATTATGATAATGATGATGGTAATAATGATAATCTAAATCACAATTATGTTAATAATTGTTATAATCAATATTGCTATAACTTATCATTATTTTTATTATTACTATTACTAACATTATTATTATCATCATTATCATTATCATCATTATCATTGTCATTATCATCATTATTACATTTACTATCGCCTGTGGGTATAGTCCACTCGCAGGGACTATTATCATCGTCATTATGATTATCATTATTATTATTGTTATTACCATTGTCATTCTTATTATCATTAGTAGTAGCAGTAGTAGTAGTATCATCATTATTATCACATAGTGAATATCATTATCAATATCACGATTATTATTATTATTATTACGATTATGAATAACATCATTTTTAACATTGTTATTATTATCAATATTATTATCATTATCATTGTTATTATTATCATCATCATCACTATTGTCATTATTATTATTGTCATTATTATCACTATTGTTATAATTATTATCATTATTATTATCACTATTGTTATAATCATTATCATTATTATTAATCACTATTATCTTTATTATCATTAACACCATCATCATCATCATCATCATCACCATCACCATCACCTTACCATCATCATCATCATCATCATCTTCAAAATCATCATCTTTATTATTAGTATTTAGTAATATGATCATTAATTTACCATGATTATAATCATCATCATAGTTTTCGTAGAAATATTGTGATTATTTGCAGTGTTATCGTTGTCTTCTATAATATAATTCACATTTTTTCTCTTGAAGGGAATGTAAAAAATGCTTAAACAAATAATTTATAAGAAAAATTGCAGTGGCCTCTGAATACCCCAAGCTTCTATATTCAGCAAAGGTTTTTATCCACTTGCAATAAAATATTCTGTTCCATCATTGCAATGTAGCGCATTGCATGAAATTGAGTGATGGTGTATGATTTCTCGTAATTTGCAACTTGCTTTACAAATTTCGAGTTCTGTAAGTTGATATAGTATAAACATATGAAAAATGAGAGAGCTGGGTTTCATATGTGATTTTGACGGGTTTCTGTTCTCATTGCGAATAGAAATGTACAATTTTGTTGGCGTATTGCAAAGGGTAATTGATAATTAAACCGATGTTGATGTTTTTTATGTAGGCTGATCTCCAAAAATGGTTCGTTTGAATTCGTTGGCTACCAACAAATGTAATAAAAATGTATAATATTTAACAATGGAAAATGTATATATCATGGTGAATATACGTCAACTATGACCAATGTATATGATTATATAGCATCTGAATTTTCAAATAACAATGAAATTCATGTTCGTAACCTTAACAACACTACAGCGTATTAAGGTGCCACAGCTTTCACGAAACAGCCCACTGACAAAACAACTACACTGACTTTACCCTACTATAGTTATCACATCTCTTTCTCTATTTCATTAGTAAATCTAATATCGATCAATCAGCTGACGTGTTAAACCACAGCGCCTTAGGCAAGTAATGATTCGAACGTTAACGGTTTCACACGCGTGACGTAGTTGGCATTGCAGTTTATACAGACGCGAAACAATTAGTATAACAATAAACACGATGAAAAAAGATATAAGCCCACCAACGAAACACCAACTGTGGCAGATCTAAAAATAAACATTCCTCTAGTACACAAACCGTAAACATGGAGCGCGTCACCCGAGATCTCTTGGCACGGGTATTTGAGACATGCCAGTTTTCTATCATAGGATCTTGACTTCGCACAACCCCTCTTAGGAATAGAAGCAGCTTGTGCAGCCTTTAGGCAAGGGATAAAGCAAACGTTGTGTTGAAGGCAGCGTACTCACTCCGTTTAAATGTCAAGTAATAGTGTTTGTTGCATGTGGCGCTGTTTAGACAGCTAAGCTTGTATATACGAAAATAGGTCAGGTTTCATTTGATATAATTTTGTTTGAGACATTATTTGGTGATGTTATTATTATTATATTTATTATTACTATTATTATTATTATTATATTTATTATTACTATTATTATTATATTTATTATTACTATTATTATTATTATTATATTCATTATTACTATTATTATTATTATTATATTTATTATTACTATTATTATTATTATTATCATTCGTGCTATTACAATAATCATTATCATTACTATTATTATAAATATTATTATTGTAATTATTATTATCTTTATTATTTCTATTGCTGTTATTATTATTATTATTATTATTATTATTATTATTATTATTATTATTACCATTATATCATTATTATCATTGTTATCATTATCACCATTATCATTGATATTATTATGATTATGAATATTATGAACATCATTACCGTTATCATTATCACAAATGTCACTATCATAATCATTATCATTTTTACAATTATTAGTATTATCATTAATATTATAACCATTGTTATTGCTATCATCATTTTATTATTACTACTATTATTTTTATTATTATTATTATTATTATTATTATTATTATTATTATTATTATTATTATTATTATTGTTATTAATCCTCATCCTCATCACCATTACTATTATCATTATTATTGTTTATTATTATTATTATTATTATTATTATATTATTATTATTATTATTATTATTATTATTATTATTATCATTATTATTATTATTATTATTATTATTATTATCATTATCATCATTATTATTATCATGATCGTCATTGTTAATGTTATTGTTATTACTATTATCATTACTATCATTATTATTAATATTAATGTTATTGTTATTATCATGATTATTATTCTTGTGTTTATTATCATTATTGATATTACCATTATCATTATTGTTATTATTATTATTATTATTGTTAATATTACTATCATCATTATTATTGTCATTATTATCGCTATTATCATTATTATTATCAGCATTATTATGATAATCATTATCGTTATCATTATCAATACTACTATCAGTATTATCATCATTATCAATATGATTGTTATTATTATTATTATCATTATTATTATCATCATCATCATCATCATTATTATTATTATCATCATTATTACTGTTATTGTTATTATTATTATTAATGTCATTATTATTATCATTATTATTATTGTTAATATTATTATTATTAATATATTATTGGTATCATTATTATTATTATTATTATTATTATTATTATAATCATTATTATTATTATTATAATCATCATTATTATTATTATTATCATTATTGTTATCATTATTATCTTTATCATAATCATTATATATCATTATCATTATTATCACTGTTATTATCATTATCATTATTATTATTATTGTCATTATTATAATTTTTGTTATTATTATTACTATATCATAATAATTATCATCAATATTATTATTGTCATTATTATAATTTTTGTTATTATTATTACTATATTATGATGATTATTATCATTATCATTATTTTTATTATTAGTAGTATCATCATTATTATTAGTAGTAGTAGTAGTATCATTATTATCATTATGATCTTTATCATTATTATAATTATCATTATCATTATTATCAAAGTTATTATTATTATTACTGTCATTACTATATTTATTATATTTGTCATCATTATTAGTATAATAATAATAATTATTATTATTATCGTTATCATTATCATTATAATTATCATCATTATTGTTAGTAGTAGTAGTAGTAGTAGTAGTATCATTATTATTATAATTACTATTATTATCATTTACATTATCATTATCATTTCCTTAATATTGTAATCATTATTGTTATTGTTACAACTATCTTTAGTATCATCATTATCAATATTAGTTTTATTATCATTATCATTATCATTATCATTATTGCCAATATCATTGCCATTGTTATTCTTATTATCATTACTTTTATTATTTTCATCATTATTATTATTATTATTCATTATTATTATTATTATTGTTATTACTTTTGTTATTGCAATTATCATTATTATTATCATTATTATTATATCATTATTATCATTATCATTATTATTATCATTATCATTCTTGTTATTGTTTTTGTCATCATTATTATTGTTATCATTTCCTATTATCATTATTATTGTTGTTATTATGATTATGATTATCATAATGATTATAGTTACCATCATCATTATCATCATTGTTTTTTTATATTATTATTACTATTATCATTATCATCATTATTATTGTTATCTTTATCATCATTTTCATTCTCATTGTTATCAATATTGTTATCATGACTACTATCATTACTAGTATTATTTGTAGTAATATTATCCTTATCATTATTAGTATTGGTTATAGTATTAGTATTAGTATTTCATCATTGTTAGCATATCACCATGATTGTTACTATCATCATTATCATTATCGTCGTCATAATCATTATTATCCTCCTGGGTATGAGGCTGATCACCGTAGTATTTTTTCCTAATTAATCACAATTTTATAAATCCAATAATAAACATTTCCGAACTGACAGTCAATTTCACTAACTGATATGGCACTAAAAGAATCATTATTTTCATCATTATTGTTATTCTAATTATTATCATTCTCATTATTCTAGAAATTGTTATAATTACCATTATTATTATCATCATCATCATTAGTGCTATTATTATTATTTCTCTTATATTTATTATCATCAGTATCATTATTATCGCTATTATTAAATATATCATTATTAACCTTATCTTGATTATTGATTTTGCTATTTTTATCATCATCATCATCATTACTTTTATCATTATCATCAACAGCAGCAATATCATGATAACACTTCAGACCCCCATGTAACTTTTCGTTTTCTGTGAAGGCCCTGCAGCCACCACAGAGAACGGAGAAAGT